AATACTGTACGGTGAATGATACCCGCAATGGGCCGACGGCGACGAGACGAGCGGCGCGCGGGATCATGCCGATTTCGATTTCGGTGCGCGTCAGGTGTTCGTCCCAGATTCGGCTCGGCCTGTTGGGTGTCGTCATTGCATTGCTGACCCTGAACAATCGCGAGGGGGTGGAGGATTTCGATCCGATCGACCTGAGCCGTCGGAACTTTCTTGAGGACAACGTTGAAGTGGTGTTCGCCGATGGATGGTCAGGCTGCCAGACCAGAGGGCGCATCACGTCTGCGGTTTATCCGCTTTCTCCGTCAATGGCCGTCGCAGTTTGCGGCGCGGTTGTTGTGTCTCGGTTGTGATGATCTCCGGAGATCGATTTTTATCCGTCTCTCGACATTTCCCTCTTTGTCTGAAAGCGGATAACTGGATTGATGCTTGGAATACCAAGATATCTTGTGCGGTAACAATGATTGCAAAAAACATGACATTTTTTTTGCAATTATTGTTATCGAATTTCAATCTGCAGACTCTTTTTGATTGACAGCCCCTGTGTTTGAACCCACGGATGCTGCTGAAACAAAACGTCGATTCTAAAACGATAATGTGTGAACACATTGGTGTGAAAAAGAAAAATCCGTCGCGACCTCTCACGAGGTCATACGGGCGTCTAGCGCTGCTTGGCAAATCGACCTCGGTATGACCCCGCTCTCACATGACGGCCTTGGGTTACTCGGTCTGTGTCTGTGTTCGCCCAGTGCTTGATGGGATGATGGGATGAGAAGGCCCATGTGGCGGTGATATCTAGCTGGCCACCCGCGACGAGGACGTAGCGTCCTCATGGAACGGCAACTGCATCACTCACGCGAGAACCCAATCAACTCTACTGCAGAGATTTCTGGGCAGTCAAACTCCTCCCTGAGACACATGCAGTGGGGCCGAGAACCAAACGGACGCCCCCGTCCTGATTCCAGACGTACTGTCTTGACAACCCGAATCATATTCACGTTTCAGAAGGCGCGATATACATAAGCAAACTTCTATAATCGAGTCAAAGAACGGCGAATGGAAAACGACAACCCGTGTTTGCCCGTGGGCGGCGATAGACGTAAGATGTGACGCCTCGGGTTGGAGGAATGACCCACAGGGAAAGCTGGTTGAACGGTGTGAACAAGCGTGGGTCGAGGTGCGTGCATGGAGACGACGTAAAAGGGGGAGGGAGCAACGCAACGTCGTTGGTCTTCAAAAAAAAAAAAACGTTTGGTTAAGGTAATCTCCGCGCCGGAGAGTGATAGAGGTGGTATGATGCGAGAATGTCGCATCAGCACGGCACTGTCCCAAAGGGTCACTCGAGATTTGGAGGAGCTGTGTCGTGTACATCCATCTCTCTTGGCGTTGTAAGGAACGGGACGGTGCCATCAGCAAAGGCGAGCATCGCCCCCGTGGAAACGTGGGAAAAAGTTGCCTGTCGGACGTTGGCAGCATGGCACGGTTATCGGGGGGGGGGGGGGAGGGAAGGAGGACAGATGTGGGAGTGAAAGTGAGAATTCAATATCAACATGCGGATGCAAAGATGCAGATGCGAGGTTGGGTGAATGCTGTATATGGGATGACTGACCGCGCGCGGTTACGTTCCGTCGCACGTCAGAGAAAACGCGATGCCCAGGAGGCCAGAAATGTAGTTGCCGAAATTGCCGAGGTGTGGACCGCGAGGGGTGAGGGCCGTCGAGGAAGATGCCCGCACGTCGTGAAAGATCCGGCTATTGTACATCGACGAGGAGGTTGCGCTCGAGGATATACTTCCCTTCTTTGTACTTCTGGGATTGTTCGTACGCTTTGTCCTGCCACCCAGAGCGATGGGGTTCGTGAGCAAGCAGGATGTGAGGAGGCATGCTCACATATTTCCAGCCCAGTATGGTGCCACACTTGCAGCAATAGATGTCTCGCACGGTGTGGTTGCCCGTGGTCATTTGACGGTCATTCGGTTCCCCTTCTATAACATTGACCCTGCACACATGCACTCATTAGCACTCGCACGATGTGATCGTGCCCCCGAACCAGTCTTACACATCTTCGAACAAGTAAGCGCGTCCATGCTGGCCATTGAATGCCTAAGGATGGGTCATTGGATGTGTGGCAGAGGACATGGTGGGTGACACTGACCCTGGATATCATGGAGTGAATGGTGGTAACGTGGGTGCGACAAGTCAGGCAGCCATATACACGGGCGCCCGCTAGGTAACGTCTGTAACTCATGCCCATGGTGAAGAAGTGCTGTGGGAGTGTGCGCAGATGTGCAGGCTTAGGGGGTCCGAAAGGCCAAAGGCGCCAGACGACCAGATTGGGATTCGGAAAGAAAGCGAGATGGGCAAGGAAACTGCGGGATAGACTGATGTCGAGTTATATAGCCTGACGGCGATAAGAATCCTAAGAGGTCGAGCGCAGCCGGGCGGTCGGTCGGATGACTCGGAAAGAAAAGGGCGAGGGTAGGGTTCAAAAATTTTGACCGCAAGGTGAAATGTTGGTTGTTGGCGTGAACGCGTTGATTGCACCGCAATACCCCCTTTCAAAGCTACTAGTTTATTTACACACCACCTCAACCACGACCATACGACGCTCTCAACAGTCAATCCCTCTTCCCTTCTCCGCGGTTCGCAAACTCGGGTATATCCTCATCGGGTGCATAAACGCCGCACCGAGCGAGAAAGCTCGTTTTGTGGAGGTTCGGTAGTTCGCTTTGTAACAGGGAAAGGAAGGCCCTTAATTAGCCTCTCGCGATTTTCCGAGGCAAGCTCCGGAAGGTTGGGGCGTGGGCAGGCACTGCACTGCGCTCATGACTCGCTCGTGATCGCGTCGGATCAGACACTATCTCGGGACACAGCATCAAAGAAGCACTTTCAAGCTCCTACCACCGCCAGTGGGGCAGCCTCAGGCATTTGGGGCAGAGGTGGGTTCGCAGGAGGTGCACCCAGGGGTAACGGGGTTCGCGTCCAGTCTGGTATGACGTTGGCGGAATGTACATCGACGTCACTTCCCTCCATGGAATCATCTGGACCTGGGTGACCTCCACCTTCGTCCCACTTTTCCCGCGCGACTTCCATGCCGCCTGTTTTAAGAGCACTGTATGCGGGTCATGGGATGGTTGAGTCCTGGAATCACGAGACGCCGAAAACGAAGAGGCTTACCCCGCCAATGAGCCACCGACCCAAGCCATCGTGGCTGGTGTGAATGCCGGAGCCTTCCCCGCGTTCCTGCCACCACGTGCACCGGATGGAGGAGTCGGCGAAGGGTTGTTCAGAATAGCAAAGTGAGGAACCAAGGGGCGCAAAGGGGCATAACGGTCATAAGCTGGCGGTCTGGGCCTCCCTGGACGCACGGCCGGGCGTATGGGAAGAGGAAGGGCAAGTCGCGATCGGCCCGGATGAGTTCTGTGTGCAATCGAGGGATAAAGCCAGGAAGCATCGCGGTGCCACCTGTAACGAGAATAGAGGAGGCGAGTATCTTGCGGAGGTCAACTGGGACCTACACTCAACGAGATCAGTCAACGGCAACCGTCACATACGGAAACAGTTATACCTTTAGCAGGCAGTCTAGTATGGTCTCAGCAATGCTACTTTCGTCGACGTCACCGCCCTCGAAGAGCACTTCCGAGCCTCTCTCTCGAATCCACCCAGGGACTATGAGTGTACCGTGGCCGGTACCAGTCTGCTGCGAAGCTGGGGGCGTGACTTTCAGATGTAGATCCGTCGCTGTTGAGTGACGCATATACAGGTTTGCAAGTACCTGTAAATGGTGCTCGCCTGCTTGCGAACGCCCTGGGAGGACCTGGGACCGGGAAACGACAGAGAAGTCGGAGGACGCTCGGTCGGCACTACTGTCTCGATCAGCTGAAACACGAGACAAGTCGGATTCAGAGGGCGCGCTATCGCTGGGCGGCAGGTCAAGGTCCATAGGGTCGTCACCAAGCGGTGTTACGACATCGGAATCTATAACGGTGTCCATAGCTTCGCCGACGAAAGAACAGCGAGTTTTTATCTCCTCGAGAACAGCATCTGAAAGAACCTCTAATGGAACTCGAGTCGAACGTGAGGAAGCAGGCATGTTAACAGCAGCACTGAGAGATGTCGGTGGTGGGAGGTATGTGCCGAAAAGGAGCAAAAGAGCACGGAGGTGAGACGTTAGGCGTGCGCCAGCTAAAGGGGTTGTTCCAAGTTGGTGGAATAGTGGCCGAGAAGAATATACCTGTCTGCACGTCAATGGAAAATCCTTAAGATGGGATAGTCATACCGGAAGAGCAGTGGATTCTAACTCTCCACAGTCAAGGACGAGGCCCGTTATTCGGCCTACCGAGAGGATGGCAAGTAGGTGGCTCGGAGCAAACGATATGGATGGGACCTGGAGATTTTCAAAGAGGATCTTGGCAAGCATCTCTTTCACATAGACGGACAAGAGAGGATGCTCGACGATAATAATTTTCCTCGACTTTGGGTCTGTCAGCAAGGAACTGATCGCAGGGTCTCAGCACAAAAGGGAAGGAGCGGGTACGCACTTACTCGTGGAAGACGGCTCTAAGGTGGGTTTGCAATTGGGCCGCTAGCAGACGGTCGTCTTCCTCGCGCTGGAATGGGTCTGAAGATCGCTGCAGACCCCACAGCGGCGAGACAAAGAAGACATCACGCGGACGACCTTCGCCGCTGAAGCCGACTTTCCATACACGGGAGCCGGGATCGATTACGACGCGATCCTCTGTGCCATAGAGAGAATGCCTGCGGGTGGTTTGGTAATGCGGGGATGCCTGTACCATGCCGGAACGGGCTATGCGAGACGTACTCGACACACCGGCAGGAGTCGCGAGGGCCGGAGCCGCGTGAGATACCCTTGAGCGTGGAGTGGTGGGCACAGCAAGCGTGGACATGGCGGTCGTAGCTATTGGCCTCCTTCCGAGCGAGCCTGGGCTAGTGCAGTGCAAGTGCAAGGGACGTAAGAGCGACGCGATAAAAAATAAAAAGATATGCTCGGAGTGAGGATCGAACTCACGACCTCAGGATTAATGACCATTTGGTCACTCATAAGCGAATATGAGACCTGCGCTCTAACCAACTGAGCCATCCAAGCCTCAAATATGTGGCGTGTAATCTTTAGACAACTCAAGTGAGGTCGACCAGGTTCGTTGTTGGTAAAAGAAACCGAAACCGAACTGAACTGATGCGAGTTGAGCGCGCTGAACCGTGACTTGACTTTTACTCAAACACTCCGTTCATTTTACCTACTCACATTCTCCTCATGCTCAATCTTAAGCGAGGGCAGCAGGACCCGATTCTTCCCATACGAGCCACAAAACATCCAAGAACTACCGCATTGTACGGCGACCGCCCCACACCGTCCCAAAGCGAGGGCCTCTTGTCCCACTGGATCTCCAGTCTTGTAACTCTAACACACAGAGCATCTGGCATCTTCATCGAACGTTCGTCGATTTTCACCACGCGCCTCTTATTCTTCGCTGACCTTCATTAGCTCTAAGAGGTCCACCTGTCCCAACGTCCTTTGCAGCAACAACGAATGGAGTCAACAGCACAACCTTCCTCTCGGTCTGTCCCACCTGTTACTCTGCAATCCACGCACATACCGCACAGGAGATCTCCAAAAGTGCGAAACAAAAGATCGTCACCGCGGTCGAGTCCAGCCAAGTTGCGCGATTCACCCCCACTTTCCCCAGCTTCAATAGAGAGAGCGCAGTGTGCTTCTCGATCACCATCCCCACAAGTCCAACTCCAACAATCAGTCGGGACAGTTCGGTTAGCCATCTCGATGCCTAACCTAGCCACGGATTCCCCTCGACACGCGCTGGGGGGCATCGATGGCACCTTCTCCCCCCCTTCCGTGCCTCCGTTCACTCCCGTCTCAGGCCCATCACAGTCCGTTAGCCTTGCTCTTTCCGTGGCTCCCCCTTTTCGCCCGTCCCTCCCAGGCGCGTTTCTCAGCCCTTCTCTTGAAACTCCTGCGCCAAAGCTGCCGCCTTACGTCCCTCAGCTACCACAAACGGAACCACGAGCGGAAGCCGTGCATAACCCCTACTACAGGTCCATGGCCCCTCCTCCATCACCAAATCTACCACCAGTGCCTACTCCATGGCCCCAACCGCCTGACTCTGGGAGTAGCGTTGATTTTCAACCCTCCTCCACCGCATCCTCCACCGCATCCACCTCAACTCTGCGAGCACCTCGAGAAGTAGTTGATGCTGCGATCGAAGTTGCCGAGAAGAAGCTTGCCGGACGGGTGGTCAGAAAGGTTTTTTCCAGGAAGGGTGCAAGGGAGCATATTTTCCAGAGTGCCGTAAGCCTTCATCTCCTGCCTTGTTACACACACCTTCACTGTGTATCCCCAGCATAGAGCACGTGTACAAGAGTCGAGAAAAGAGGACCAGGAGTCATTGATAAAGCATTTGTTCGAGCTCGAACGAGCTCGTGGGTATTCATCTGACTTCCAAACATTCCGGGGTATGTACTTGTTATCTACGGTGATATGCTCTAGGTGCCATTCTACTCCCAGGTTTTGTGAAGTATCGGGAACTACTTGATGGTCAAGGTCTTATGTCGTGTGCGTTTATGCATTTGTCTCCTGTCTGTTGCTTATGAAACATTAGCCCGCTCTCTCACCGACCTTCGAGGAAGATATCAAAATGAAGACCAGAGACGACACTCAGTTGGTGATGTTCGCTTGCTTACCTCCCTCTCTAAGATTTCCGTTTCATGAGATGCTATGCAGAACGTTACCCCGGATTTTCTCGAGCGTGCACTACAAAGAGCTCGAGAAACCCTGAATGGGTCTGTCATTCACGTACTTGGCTCATTGATGCCTATGCTAATAAACGCAGCCCTAAACCACCACCACCTTTCATCCCGTCCTTTGAGCAACTCCGTATCGCCCGGGGCGATAGAGATGTGGAGATCAACAGTCGCCTTCGTGGACCACCGTTGCCTAGTTCCCTTTCTTCCGAGGATGAGACTGAAGTTTCGAAGCTACTTAAGAAACGTGGTGTAATTGCCAAGGTGGCAAGGCTGCAGGTCACAGACGCTGACATCAGCCGCCTGAGACCCGGTACATGGTTGAACGACGAAATCGTCAATTTCTACGGGCAACTTATTTTGGAGCGATCGGAGGCGAGCCCCAGAAATAAGGGTGTGAAGAACGGCGCAAGGTTCGAAAAGGACACGATATTGAACGTTCACTACTTCAATTCTTTCTTTTACGAAAAGCTGTCGCAAGAGGGGTACGAAAAGGCGCGTTTAGCGAAGTGGACCAAAAAAGTGGGGCGCCAACCTCTACTTCACGAGTGACCTACTTATTCATACTTTCTGATAGTTTGATATATTCTCGAAAGACGTTGTATTGATACCCATTAACCATGGCAACTCGCACTGGACCGCAGGCTGCGATCAATTTTCGTCGACGCCGAATAGAATCGTTCGATAGCATGGGTGTGAGGCGGCAGGATGTCTTCAATGTACGAGTCTAGCTTCTGGCCAGATTTTCATTGTATCGCTGACATCTTGTATGCCGTCAGCGACTACGCGAATACGTCGAACTCGAGCATCTAAACAAAAAATCCAAGCCTTTCGACTGGACAGGCTGGATCGACTACTGTCCGCGGGATACCCCTCAGCAAGAGAATGGCTACGACTGTGGCGTCTTCGCATGTCAATTCCTGGAGGCATTATCGCGCGGCATGGACTCACCCTTTAATTTTACGCAGAAGAGCATGACGTTTTTACGACGGAGGATGATATTGGAGATTGCGCGCACGGAGTTGCTCGGTGGAACATAATACTTCAAGCTTCAACTACCGTGTTCGACGTTGGGCGTATCTTTATTTTGTTTTCTCACTTATGTTTTCCATCGTAATGCTTGGATGCCCATGGAGCGGATATGTATTTACGATCCTGTAACGACCCCTCGTAGAGTTATATCCCTAGGTGATATATAAACAAGAGGAGCCCATCTGGGAACATTCCTGATACTACGATTGTCGACGATAGCAAAAGACGATATGTATGCGTACAGCGAGGTGTGAATAACAAGCAACACAGGGAGTGAGCCAAGACCGGCAGGCTACCGTCGCAACCACCACACGACGATGAAGAACCAAAAGGCGAGGATGAGAAAGACGATGTACCACAACCAGCGACACCCTTGACGCTCGGCCATGTTGTTCATGCGCCGGAACGTGCCCGCGAGAATGCCCGACGTCTCCGCGAACGCGTCGTTCTACGTAGACGTAGAGTACCCCCCCGCGGAATAAAGAAATAAAAAAACCCCCGAGTTGGGTAAAGCAAAAAGTCAGTCAGAAAGGTCGTTCCGTCCGGTATGATGTCGGGCTATCCCAATTCCGCACGTGCAGATGACGAGCGTTCACACGCACCAGCGGTACACGGTACACGGTACACGGTACACGCATGCACGGAAAGAGAGGGAGGGAGGGAGGGAGAGAGAGAGAGAGAGAGAGAGAGCAGGAACGCACCATCTGACTGAGCTGGATGGTCGACTCGCGCACCTCGTTCCCAATCCCGATCGTGATCTAAAGACGCGCAATTGCGCATCGCATCCAAAGAGCAAAGAACAAGGAGCCACCCCCCAAAAGAAGAAGAAAGAAAAAAAAAAAAAAAAAAAAAAGAGTCAGTAGTCCGTTCTCCTTGAGCGATCAGAAAAAGAAAAAAAAAAAAAAACGGGTAGCCACCCCACATGGGGCCGCTCAATAATAATGATGATAATGATAATAAGAAAAAAAGAACACACAACACACAGAGGCCACATACGATGTGGGGGGGGATGGGTATGGGAGGAGGAGGAGGAGGACCCCACGCGACGCACCTCTTTGAGCATTTTCACTTTGGCGCTGAGTCCCTCGATGGCCTCGTCATTTTGGCCCTCGAGATCGTCCGCGAAGCGTGCGCCCGCAGAAGCCGCCGCATCCGACGAGGCGCCGTGGTATGCCGGGAATGGCGACGAACGTCCAGAGTGTGGGGGTGTGGGGACATAAGAGCCGGCGTCGAGCCCGAGGGCTGCACGGGATACGCGGTGCCTACAACAACAACAGGTCAATTCTGTGGGCAGGTGCGTTGCTGATGGACGGCCTTACCGTTGGGTCATAGTTTGATCATAGCTTGATCGGACGTCACAGTGGCCTACCTTTTGTCGGTTCGTCTTGCTTACGTGGCGGAAGCGAGTCAATCAATCATCATCAACTGGGTTTTCCGAGTGGGCTCATATTGAGCTACTAGTAACAAAATACATATAAGCACACCCCTGCTCCCCAGCACAACTCGGCAACCAAGCCAATGACTACGTAGACAAAATAAAAAAAAAAACGAATATCAATATCTACAAATGTGGTAAACGGGGGAGGGAATAAGAGAGGAAAGAGCGGAGGACGCTTGGGCGAAGCCCAGCAACAACACAAGCGTGCACTGTAATGTATAGTGTTAATCTCTGACGCAGTAAGGAAAGGACGATGCTGGTATAACGGTCCGCCTGTAGATCGTAAGCCATATCGACGCACTGCCAGGGTATTTGCACACGGGATACAAGGCGGTGAGAGTGCGAACGCAAAAAACGTGCCGAGGTTGTTTAGTCGATGCTCATTCGGTTGGGCCGCAGAGATAGCGAGGGGTACGCGCCGTGCTTCGCGCCAGCAGCCCCCTGCTTCCGGGAGACTGGAGAATATGGTCGGGGGCAAGAAAACATGAAGGGTCTAATCGTCGACGTACTCTGGTCTTTCAGGCCACGTCCAAAGTTTCGCATGACCATCCATGCATAGATAAAAGTCATCAGGAGGAGCACAATTGAAATGACGGCTGCCACCATAGTCAGCAGTGCTATGAACAATGCCCGAAGCGCACCAACCGAATGTAGAAAGTGACTGCCAGACATGGAGATAGTCGCGTGTGTTCTTTTTGATAAAAACTTTGACGAGCTACATCAAGAGGTTGCAGTAGGGTATCCACCAGTAACACTCAAATCATACCTTGTAAGAAAAGTATATCATGGCACCAACGCAGCCGGAAAGGAACGAGGCCATCATCCACTTGTTCTCGTAACGGGCCGCCAAGTGGCCCTCG